TGTCCAAATGATCTGAATGATGTTTAATGATTCACATTCACCATTCCTAAAATGAAATTCATGACCAAAAAATAGTACCTTAGATTAGATAGAGTCACATTAACTTGTAATTTTAAAGGAAATATATGAAAAATCCAATTAAATGGATTCTGCAGATGCAACTATAAATATATTTATTTCCCCAAAGCCTGAAAATATGTGTCAATTTATGCAGTGCTAATTTACACTGTAGTCAAAAGCCAAATAATTTGTGTGAAAGAAAGGGGACCATGTTCCCAGATTAGAGCAGGAATGTGTTTCCTAACTGTGTCTTGCTACTCCCTGTCTTAACAAGACCCTGGTACAGCTGAAGTCTTGAGGCTCTGGATCAGATTGAGTCCCAGTATATCTTAGCATAGAATGACCACTCTATGTCAACAGAGAATAAAACTCATATCATATTCAAAAGATAAGGACGTATTCTGAGAACAAGACACTTCACAGTCAATCAACAATCTTTATTTAAAAAATGAGAACAAAATAATTACTAAATTTGTATATAACTCTTCTGTAAATACAAGACAACTATATTATAAGGATTTATTATCTCTATTCTATAGGCACATTTAGTTTTGATTAGGCAGTACATAAGTCAAAGAGGAAACTCTGGTGATTATTACTATTAAAGCATTTATTGCAACTTTCTGTAGACAGTCACTTGACATAATAATGAACATGCACAAGTGACATGAATTAGAACACATTAGGTGTAAGCAAAGTTAAAGTGCCTTTAATGTAGGGTTGCCAGATATGATATAGGACGCATTTGTTGTTTATCTGAAATTCTAATTTAACTGGGTTCCTGTATTTTTATATGTTTTATCTGGCAACTTAGCTATCATACCATAGTGACTTTATTTCATGTAGAAACACGGAAAATTATCAGAAGCTGAGGTGAAAGGAATTTGCTGCCACATTTCTAGTTAAGCCATATTTCTTATTTATTGATTGATTTGAGTTGAGGTCTCACTCTGTCACCCAGGGTGTAGTATAGTGGCATGATCACAGCTCACCACAGCCTCAACCTCTTGGGCTCAGGCGATCCTTCCTCCTCAGCCTCCCAGGTAGCTACCATGCCTGGCTAAGTTTTTGATTTTTTTGTAGTGATGAGGTTTGCTCTGTTGTCTATGCTGGTCTCGAACTCCTGGGCACAAGCAATCCTCTCGCCTCAGTCTCCCAAAGTGCTGGGATTACTGGGTGAGCCACCATGCCCTGCCTCATAGTTCAATTCAATTTGAGCAACATTTATAAAGTATCTCTTACCCCCAGATGAAGAACTTAGTGTTAGATATACAGAACTGAATAAACTGTTTCCTCAAGATTCTCAGGACTCGGGTGAAGATGGTTTCAGGCCTACGGGTGCAAGTGGTCCAGAAATTGTGTGACAGGAAGAAAGTAGGAGTATGATCATTGAGTAAATGGAGATTTAAGCAAATGGGACATAAGGGAAGATCTGTGTGGATAAAATGATGTAACATATGATGAGCTGACAGACATATTGCTTTACGAATGTATAGCAGCAGATATTAATAATGTGCTACTAAAGAACTCTGAGGCCAGGTGCGATGGTTCATGCCTGTAATCCCAGCACTTTGGGAGGCCAAGTTGGGAGGATTGTTTGAGCCCAGGAATTCAAGGCTAACCTAGTCAACATAGCAAGACCTTGCCACTACAAAATATAAAATAGCTAGCTGAACACTGCATCATGTCTGTAGTCCTAGTTACTCGGGAGACTGAGGTAGAAGAAATGTCTGAGACCCAGGAGGTTGAGGCTGTGGTGTGCTGTGATCATGTGATTGCACTGTAGCCTGGACAACAGTGTGAGACTGTGCGTTAAAAAAAAAAAGAAGAAGAACATGGGCTCGGTGGCTCAGCCTGTAATCCCAGCACTTTGGGAGGCCGAGGTGAGTGAATTGCCTGAGCCCGCGGGTTCGAGATCCGCCTGGACAACTTGGCGAGATCTCATCTCTACAATAAATCAAAAATTAGCTGGGTGTGGTAGCGCGCGCCGTAGTTCCAGCTACTTGGAAGGCTGAGGCGGAAGGATCGCCGGAGCCCAGCAGGTTGAGGTTGCAGTGGCCGGGAGCGGCCACTGCACTCCAGTCTGGGTAACAGAGTGAGACTCCAACTCAAAAAAAAAAAAAAAAGAAAAGAAAAAGAAAGTTAGAAAAACCCCACAAAACACTGAGCTGTTTTAACCATGGTTTCCAGGTATGCATCTAGAAAATAACCTCCCAGATATTTGTTATGTAGCATTATGTTTGACATTGAACCCTAACTTGAGAGTTTCATTATGCTATTGCCATAGTTTAAGAAACGTTTGCCTAAATTATCAGTTTTGATGTTTTGATATGCTGGGCAATCTGACCCCAGTAGTAATAGATAATATTTATGGAGATCCTCTTCTATACCTGATACATTAATTAAGTTATTTATTTCTCACGACAATGCTTTGACGTGAGTACAGCTATCTCCATTTTATTGCCAAGGCAAGTTATCATTGATAAATCAAGTGCCTATTAGACCACATAGGTAATATAAATGAGGGGGAAGGTTAAGAATAAGGCAGAATTGGGATGTAGCAGGGAGATTATGGAAAACTGGGGAGCAGATGATCTGTCTCCAGCACTTTCTATGTGGGTCAGAATTGTGCTCTTTTTTGGGGGGCGAGGGCTTATGGAAATCTAAAATTTTAAGTGAAATGCCTTCAGTTTTGAGTGTTAGAAACTAAATTTACAATAGAATCCCTTGGAATCTTCTGGGGATTTGTTCCAGGATCCCTGCAGATATCAAAATCCCTGGATGCCCAAGACTTTTATGTAAAATGGTGTAGTATTTACATATCACCTATGTATATCTTCACATAATACTTTAAATAATCTCTTGTTGCTTATAACACCTAATACAACATTAATGCTATGTAAATACTGTCATATTGCATTTTTAAAATGTGTATTATTTTGTATCATTGCATTTTTATTTTTTCCTGGATTTTTTATCTTTGGTTGAATCTGCAGGTATGAAGGACTGACTGTACTTTACTGGCTAAATGGAACAAAAATAAAAAATTGAACAAAGACGACAATGCATTATTTTGGCCCAAAATATGCTTCTGAGAAAATTTTGTTACGAGTCTGTCATTTCTGCTTTGGAAAAAAAAAAAAATCACTGAGAAAATTGTAATACTAGCATATTTATAGACTTTGAAATTAAGTTGTAGCAATATATGATGACTAATGTTAAACATGAAAATTGAGTAGCCAATACTCAAAGAAAACAACTATTCTTTTCCTATAGAGTCATGTTTCTCAAACTTTTTGATCACATTCACCTTAAGAAATTAAGTTTACATGAAATTTAGTTATTCTTACAAGTGTGTGTGAATAGATGTAGATATCTGCACGAAATAATACTTACTCTTAGTACCTGTGATGCACTCTGCTACTTTTAATTCTATTCTGTTTCATATTGTTTACTACATATGGAATGGATTGGATCATATTCAAGTTGAAAATCTTTGCTGTAGAAAACAACTTTTAGTCCATAAGGACTAAGAATCATTGTTCGAGATCATGCATTACAACTCTAAACATTCCAAGTGATTTAAAATTATCAAGTACTGCCTATCTAGATACTGTTATGGAAATTCTGGTAACAAGAGAAATGCCTACATTTAAACACAAACTACTGATTTCCTTACAGGTTAATCTTGTCTTTGTAAGCAGATTAGGGCAGGACAACTCCTTTCAGTAACTTATTGAGGACAGGAGGAAAGTACAACATTTTATATTCTCCCATTATGCCCGGCTCAGGATAGTAACTCAATTAAAACAAGTTGCTTTGATTAAAGCAGCACTCTATGGCTATTGACATATAGGTTATTGGTTACCAAACCTGGTTGATTATCAGAATTTTCGGAAAAACTTAAAAAACCCCACAGAATCTTATTCAGAAAAATGATATATTCACTTGTAGAAATCAACTCTGAGGACTGTTTGGTTGAATAAACTGTTAATATTACCACATATTAAATTATTATGTAGTTACCAGTTACAAAAAGAATGAGGACGATCTCTGTGATAGATGGCTAAGTGCAAAGAAAAAAAAAGTCAAGATGTTTAGGCAGTCTTTCATCAGGAAAAAAAAAAGAAAAAAATCAAGGTGCATATATTTGGTTTATATTTGCACAAAGAAAATCTGGATGTGTAACAAGGAACTAAAAAAAGGATATCTACAGGTGATTTTGGAATGAGGTGGAGGGGAAAGAGAGTGATGCGAGACTTAGAAACTCAAGTATCCCTTTCTATATACTTTTGGTTTTGAATTATGTAGATATTTTACATATTAAACAACACAAGATTTAAAAAATTTGCATTAAAAACTCTAAAATCGAAGACAGAAATAAATAAGCCTTATTATATTTCAAATTGAAAACTTGACCACACAGAAAAAAAAAAAATTTCTAGTGAATTTTGAATGTAATACTCTGTCCATCTGTAGTGAGATGTAATCTAAGGAGTAAAAACAAAACAAAACTACAAAGAAAACTTAAACATCTCTCAGTGATTATTTTTAGTATAATATTTGTATTATCATTTTTAAATCATATCTTTTTGGGCAAAAATAAGTAAATGTTGTAAGAGATGTGATTTTCAGTATAGGAAAGTGATGACACACAAAGGAGAAATCAAATAATTTAAGAAAAAAATTTGTGTAATGTTAAATTTGAATTGGAAATATCTCTACAGGAACCAGGTTTCCTTAAAGAAATGCCTGATTCCAAGTCTGAGGCAGTTAGGTAAAAATAGAGCCTACAATATCTTGTGCCAGAAAGCAGGAAAGCCCTTAAACACAGGAGCCAGTTTGAAGCAGCTTCCATTGACCAAATTTGGAACAAATTAAGCATCTCAAAAGAATAACTAAATGATCATAAAACACCGAATAAATAAAAATCCATGAATTTTGAGGAGAGAGAGAGAAATTCATTTGCTGCCAGTGGAGGTGACATTTATATCAACATCTTATTCTGGAAATAGGTAAGAAATTATTTATCATGTCATGTTTTGAAAGAACTGTTGAAACCAGCTGATGTGTGAAAGCTTTTTTTTTTTTTTTTTTAAACAACAGAATGCCAGCTTGTTTATACTGAAGAGATAAAATAAGTAGAAAAATCATTATTTTGGAAACTCTTATGAAATAATTGATTTGGGCAAAGATAACAGAAGCCAAATCATTAGGTGAGACTCATTAGAACTGAAGCCAAATCATTAGGTGAGAAGCTGACAGTGAGGAGGATATTCACAAAGTGTGTCCAAGTATCACTCCACAGATTACTTGTTAATTGCAAAGGGGGAAAAAAAACAAACAAAAACCCCACCTTACCTTTACAGTGGAGATACCTGATTATGTAACATAGTGATCAAACCTGGTGTCATTGATAGACAAGTTGAAACTATGTGGCTCCTGGTGTGGCCATTCGCTTATTGTGTCAGTGTGAAGTCTCTGTGCCAAAAATGTTTAATGTAAATCTAATCAGGTTCTGAAATCTAATTTCCAGTTTACAGGAAAAAAGGAGAATTAAATAAGAACCAGTTAATTGATACCAGGCAGAGACAAGGCTAATTAGCAAAAGGCAATTTTTTTTGGTAGATAGCTAGCAGAGTGTTTGATCAAAGAAGCCTGAAAAATTTTTTGTTTTGAAGGTAGATATGCAGGGGCTACTTTCTTCAGCTTTAATTGAAAACCTTATTCCTTCATAAGGATAATATGCTAATGCTGTGGTCTAAGAATCACATAAAGGAATTTTCTTTTACAGAAGAACAACGCCAAGTTCAACATGCAAAAACAATTTTTATTTGAGAAACATCTTGTACTACCTAGAATTGGAGACCTTTTTCTAAATAAAAGAAGAAAGTATTCTTGTCTAAATACAGACATTTTGATTGCTTGATTCCACTGACCCCTTTCTGCTGCTTGCTACATTCAGTTCTCATTGGATGTGTACATGCCTTCTTTTGCCATGAAATTATTTTCATCTCTAACGTTGATTTTTAAAATGTTCTTCTTTATACTTCTGCTAAAATCGTTTCTTGTTGATGCTTTTACATTGCTATGGCATTCTGGACTTAACACATAGCATTAAAACCCTCCTTTCTTAAATTATATTTATGCTCAGGAGAAATAGCGGAGACACATTGAATTCATTCCTTCCCTGCAGAATGGAAAGAGTTTACACTAAGGGCTCACTTCAGTTTGGAGGAGAGAGAATCGGGGAGATGGCAGAGCAGCTGTGTTCTGTTTTGAGAGAGGAGAAAATTTAGGCTCATGCTTTTGGAGCTGCCGCACAACGTAGCTTCTGAACAGAACTGCCCTGTTTTTGCCACTGGCAACTCCACCCTTGCTGTTCCCAGAAACACCCTCCAGTTTCCCTCTTTTAGACTATCATTTCCCTCCCCTACTGGTTAGCACAATCATTACTGTTGAGTAATAACTGAACAGATTTCTGAAATAATTTAAAGAAATCAATTTATTTTATGGTCTTGCTACATTCATGTTGAATCTTAGGTAGGGAAACTTATTTACTTACTGCATATGTGAATAGAGTACCTTGCAGTCTTAACAATACTTCATCTTTTTGGTCTAAGCTAGATTTTTTTTTTTGTCTCTGTAAATAAAGGTTTATTAGAACACAGACATGCTCATTCAATTACATATAGTCAATGATCGCTTTTGATTTCTTTTAGGCTAGTGGTTCTTAACATGTAGTTCCTAGATTTGCACTATCATCATCATCTGGAAACTGATTAAAAATGCAAATGTTTGGGTATAAACCAACTTTCTGAATCAGAAACTGGGATGGAGATCAGAAATTTGTTGTTTTTTTTTTTTTTTTTGAGTTGGAGTCTCACTCTGTCGCCCAGACTGGAGTGCAGTGGCCGCTCCCGGCCACCGCAGCCTCGGCCTGCTGGGCTCCGGCGGTCCTTCCGCCTCAGCCTTCCGAGTAGCCGGAATTACAGGCATGCGCCACCACGCTTGGCTGATTTTTTTTATTTATTGTAGAGATGAGATCTCACTGCCCAGGCGGGTCTCGAACCTGCGGGCTCAGGCAATTCACTCACCTCAGCCTCCCAAAGGCGCGGGATTACAGGCTGAGCCACCGAGCCCGGCAGAAATTTGTTTTTAAAACTCTGCAGGTGTTTTTTTTTTTTTTTTTCACTCTAAAATGTGTGAACCACTCTAAGCCACAAGATTTCCTGTGCTCCTTTGTTAAGTCAGCAAACATGCTAAGCACATTCTATGCACTATGATCTATAAAGAAACTCTGTCCTTAGTGTGGTAATATGGTAATAGGGAAGACAAAATTTACATAAAAAGCTGTAACAGGCAGTTCTGATCATCTGTCTTCCCTACTTCTGGGTGTCCTCAGGTTAGGGTCTGTAAGTAAGAGTGGGTGGACTATGCTAACCAACGGCAAGGAGGCAAAATTCACACATTTACAGAAAAGAATAGCCCCGAACATGGTTGAAGATGGTGAGTTTTCAGACTCTGGAGTATAAGAAGAAAACCGTAGTCTATTCTATACTGAGAGAGAATAGCTAATAAAGAACACTGAAAAGTGGTGGGAGAGATTGTAGGAAAATGGGAGTGATCTGGATTGAAGGAAAAGTTAAATCATACCCTGTGCAGATATCGTCATTGTTCCCGTTAACTCAGCTGGTTAGAGTTCTAAGTCACAGATTCAGTTCCTTACAGAGAATGGATACATTATTTCTGTTCTTTGAATCCGCAGCACCCCTCACAATCTGAGGCACCAAACACAGATGGAATGAGAGATGGATGAAGGATTGTGGATCATTACACATTCACCCCTATTCCTGGGCGAATGACTGAAGGCTATGAAGGTGGGTGGTAGCACCATCTTTGTAGGGTGTAGTAGATGATAAGTAGTAGATTTATCAAATTCTTTCTTAAAGCTTTTATTGGTACAAATAGTCTTGTTTCTTGTTTTTTGTTTTAAGACAAATTTAGTTTTTTGAAGAAAGAACATAATTTCTCAAGGAAAATTAGTAATGTGTACCTTGTATAACTATGATAATTTTTAGGTTATATAACTTGTAAAATGTTTCATTTGGCAAGAATATTTAATTAACATATAAGCATGTAGCTTTCCTTCTATGCACATTAACTAGATCTTGAAGATGCTAAAAAATTTGATGATAATGTCTTGTGTCCTTATAAGGAGAGACAAATTAAATGCCTCACTTTTAAATATAGTAGGCTGTATCCACTAACATTAGCTAAGGATGCCTCAGTGTTTCCATGCAAAACCTTATACCTAAGTTAGCCTTAGGGAAGAGCCTCAAGGTAAAACTTGCACGTTATATCTGTCTTTCAGCAGATTGCTTTACAAAGTTTCTGGGTGCCAGCTTACCCTGAAAAATGGACACATAGTGAAATATTCATATGCCCAGTTTTCCCTACATCTAATGTTTGAATAAATAGGACATAATGATAGTACTGAATGTCAGTGAAAAAAGAGAAAGTTCTCTTTATATTTTCTTATCATTTTACATCATGAAATTTTCCTACATGCTTAAAGAGAAAATCCAACAGATTTATTTTTTAAATCATTGCTTTTAAAGAAGAAAAAAGGCAGGATATGTATACACACATAAATACTTCCAAAAGTTGATAGCCATGTACCTTGATCTTGGATTACCTTTATGGAAACATGTCATGGTTTGCATATGAGGATAATGTCATTTGTCAGCTGTCATTAAGACTTTTTTCCTAGTACAAGGATAAATAATTATATGAAAATTTGAATTAAAAAAGATATTTTAAAAAAGCAGCTGATAACCCATTAAGTAGAGGCTTGATTTTCTAGTTTAAAAACAATCAATGAAAAGGATTTTAATTTTTGCTTAAAGTGTCATAAAGTACTTACAAAGGATCATTTTGAAAGCAATAAACAGAATATCTTAGTTAAGATATCAATATCTTCCAAAATGCGGGTGGGGATGAGATTTTAATTAAATAATTACCAGATAATTAAGTTATACTCTCTGTGAAAATCAGGGATTACAACCTGAAATGTTTTTAGGAGGCAGGCAGGCAGGTAATGTAAATGGTGAGGGCTACTCTGTATATCCTGGAGACAATTCTTCAACTGAAGGCCTTATATCCAGTCTAAAGGAAGTAGCAGTGGGCAAGTCAGTTCATATAGTTATATGAGTCCAATAATTCTTGATTTTTTTTTTGGTCTGAGTGTCACTCTGTTGCCAGGCTGAAATGTAGTGTCATGATCACTGCTCAAGGAAGCCTCGAATTCCTGGGCTCAGGCAATCCTTCAGCCTCAGCCTTCCCAGTAGCTGGGACTGCAGGCACACACCACCATATCAGGATAATTTTTGTGGTTTTTTTTTTTTTTTGGTAAAGACAAAGTCTCTATGTTGCCCAGACTGGTCTCAAACTGACGATCCTCTCTCCTTGGATTCCCAAAGTGCTGGGATTATAGGTGTGAGCCACTGCACCTGGCAGTTATTTCTAGATCTTTTGATTGTCAAGAGAAACCTCAACTCTAGATCTTTTAAATAAAATCTTTACATCATTTAATGCTGGCGACTAAGTATTTTTTTAAAAAGACATTGTGTTTGTCAAAGAAAATGTACCAGCTGGATATGATTTGCACTGTGATCTACCAGTTTGTGACTCTTCATTTTTAACCACAAATGAAGTATTCTGATCTATCTTTCTCTAGCACATATGAGAGGAGACCCCCCCCAAAATCCCTGGAATTTACTTATAAAAATTATGTATTCTTACATGTTTAAACTTCAGTCACCTTCAAAGTGCTCTCTTTGATGCAAAACACCTATCCAGACATTTTTCCACGGCTCAAACAGTTTTTGAACTTGTCAATTTTGATGCCTTTTAGTGCTTCTGCTGTTTTTTTGTTTCACCTCTTCTACATGGCAAAACGTTTTCCTCTGAGGACTTTTTTCACCTGGGGTAACAAAAAAAGCCCTGGGGTGAGATCGGCTGAATGGGGAGGGTGAGGCACAGGGGTCATGCGGGTTTTGGTCAAAAACTGCTGAACACTCAGTGCAGTGGGGGCAGGTTGTTTGTGTAAATCATCCATCATTAAATGGGCGAATGCACTGAAGGGCTCTCCAAAACAAAAATTCACTGACGCCAAGTACAGCCTTTCACAACAACACTAGCTGGTACACTGATGGCAATGGGTTCCTAGAACACTTATTTAGCCAGGGAAATCTGTACAATAAGAGACCCACCCTCCAAAAAATAATTCGGGGGGGCCTCCCTTGTAAAATGCTGAATGCCAAACATAGATAATCACAAGCTATTGTAAAGCTAAGTGAAGAAATAGCCAGGGACTGTGGTACTTGCTTGGGGATGATTGCTTGAGTCTGGGAGTTTAAGGCCAGTCTGGGCAAAATAGCAAGATCCCATCTCAATAATAATGATGATGATGATGATGATGATGATTAAAACATTCACTACCACTGAAAATTTGTTAAATATTTACTTGGAAAATGAATACAATTTGTTTCTTTGGGAAGTGAAAGCTTCACCAGTATCAGCACACACACCCATTGGCATGTGAACTTGTTTTCACAGAATGAGTAAGATAGGAGTGTTAATTTTACTGACCCAATACCACTGACTCATGGGGGGGAAAAGCCAGCCTCTCTCTCTCTCTCTCACACACACACTATACACTTGCATATCTGAAAATCTAAGGTCCATATTCATAGATTAAGCTCTAATGTATTTTCAGCCTAATGCTGGATGTCTAGTCAAGTATGCGAAAACATAAATAATTAGAGTTGCCCAGATGCAGTTCTCATAACCTCCCAACACTTTGGGAGGCAGAGGTCGGAGGATTGCTTGAGGCCAGGAGATTGAGAGTAGTCTGGGCCACATAGGAAGACCTATCTCTATAAAATATTTTTTAAAAAACTGACTGGACATGGTGGGACATGCCTCTAGTCCCAGTTACTCGGAAGGTTGAGGCAGAAGAATCTCTTGAGTCTGGGAGTTCGAGGTTGCAGTGATCTATGAGTGCACCAATGCACTCTAACCTGGATGACAGAGTGAGAACCTGTCTCAATAATAATAATGTAATAATAGTTCTGGGATTTATTAGAGCATACCATCTGAAAGTGACAAAGGTCTTGCCTTTATAATTCTTATTTCATTTAACTTCTAACAGATGTGAACACAATATGGTTCATCAACAGAAATCAGCAGTTCTTACTGTGAATGAATAAGTCTTTTTTATAAATTAAAAAGATGCACGTTGAAGGAAAGATAAAGAATAGTGAGGGATTTTTTGGTATCGATAGTTTAGAATTGTCATTGTCTCAGGTACCAATTAAATGTGCTGGACGCAATGCATTTTTAAGGTAAACTTTTAGAATTTAAGTTATAACATATGTACAGAAAATACACACATCATTAAACATATTAATGCATTTTTTTCAAAGTAAACACGAGACTGTTCATTATTTTCAAAGAACCAAGCTTGAAATCTTTTGACATGACTTGATAATGCATTTTGCATATTTTGTTACTTCTGAAATATACCTCTGAAAATAACATCTCTAATGTTTGCAGTTTTATTTTTCTCTCTCTCTTCCCACTCCCTCCCCCCCTTTTTTTTCTGTCTCTGACCGTTTGATTAAACTTTAAATCACTTGTTTCTGTAAAGCTATGATCACCTGAAGTCATTTAATCACACAACACCAAGACTGTGTCTTGGTATGACTTCTAAGTTATTTATTGGAGTTACAGGATAAACATTCTGCAATATGATGTTTTTTGAAAAGAAAGCCATAAATGTTACTTAAAAAGGGACATTAGTCATCTAAAAGTATATGAATAATAGTATGTCTTTCACCTTTTTAAATGATAAAATTTATGTTTTTCAAATGAACTTTCTTGCAGAGAAGAGTAAAAAGGCAGGACATTGAAAAAATTTGATTATCAAAATTAGAGTCTATCATTCCTTTATCTAAGCAATTTTACTATAAAGCACATACCTATAAACACATTATGTAATATTTCTTGTTTCAATAGTTAAAGCAGGTCATATATCATAATCAAAACAATTATAAACACATGTGGTAACCTAGAAACGTGATTTAAAATTTCAGTGTCTTACATAATCAAAGTATCATTTAAGTAAGCAAGCCAAAATGATTACATATAACTAGGTCTACTAATCTATACATTCTGAAGAAAGTTCATTGTCTGCTCATGGTAAGAATGCTACTGTGTCTTCTTGGAGACACTACTGTGTACTTGGAGCTTCTGTTTGATTATTTACATGAGGTTAGACTACTATAATAGTTTTCTTTTCTTTTTTGGGGGAAGGAAACATGATAGAGTTTTCAAACTGACACCCAACGATCCTCTGGATCTTCTCCAGCGTGATGGTGCAAAGTAGGCTATCTATAATCATAGTTAAGGGAGACAGCCCAAGTTTGGAATGTTTTCTTTCATCTTCACAGATCTAGTATGCATATTACGGAACTACAGGCCATTGCATCTGCAAATTACCAATGAAAGTATATCATGTAGTCTCAGTAAAAAACATAGAATTTTCTCTATTCAAATTTACTTACATACTGTATTCCAATTTTTCCATAGATTTATTCAATTCTGAATGTATTTCTAATTCAGAAAGCATCTGATCTATTGCACTGTAAGTGGCAGGACAAAACTCTTCACACAATGAGCCCAAAGCAAGGTACTGATGTTTCATGTATGGTCTGGTGATTAGCAGAGAGTTGCAAGTAATTATTGATTATTGATCCAGTCTTGCTTTTACATATATAAATACTGGATGACTTGGTCTACTGTGTTAGGTACAGTA